CGAACGTCTGCAGAGATGAATAGTTTGATAAGTAACATCAGTGTAAAAGTAAAATAAATTATCGAGAGTAAACGTTCAGAAAGACACTGGGGTGCAGTGATAATTCAGGTAAAGAGTGCGAAAAGTAACTTATGGTCGCTCACTTAGGACCATTTGATACATAAATCCTGTTGAAATGCATCCTTGGCGTAAGCCACATTAGAGGAGTTTAGGTAACAAAATGTTGGGAGCTAAGAGCAATATCTAGTCGTATTTTGAAAACATCCAAGGTAAGAGAGGATACAACTGAGTCTGGGAGTGTGTTCCAGGGTTTGCAAAACCGAAGGGAAAAGTAATTCCGTCGACACTCAAGACGGCTTTATTGTTCCTTCATCTTTAAGCAGTTACCCCTGAGCTGCGTGTTGTGGCTAAGATTCAGCATATGACGGCATACGTGGTTGGGGTCACTCAATATTTGATAAGCTAATATGAGATCACCGCGCAGCCTTCGTTAGCGACCGCTGAAATACCCTAGCAACTTCAGTCTTCCGTGTTAAGAGTGATAGCGCAGGCCCCTTTAACAATTCTTTGTTGCTCTCCGTTGTGGTGTCTCTATCGCATCTAGGTAACGCTTCAACCAAGGTTGCCGAGCTTGGATAGCATATTCAACATGCGGGCGCACGTAGGAATTGTGCATCATCGGGAAGCTTGATGGGTCAAATCTCCCGAATGCTCTTCGCAGCATGCCGACATGCTGGTTGCCTCTTTTCGCAGCTACCTCAGCCTGTTTTGAACAGTTGAGGTCGCTCTGTACGATCACGCCCAGGTCACGTTCGTGGGAGCTATTCTGCAGTCCGTTGGTCCCAAGTGGATAGGTGTAGTTATGACTATGGCGTAATTGTACGACGCAACACTTGTCTACATTGAACGGTAGGGCGTTTTGAACTGCCCAGTTCGACACTGTGTTAAGATCGCACTGGAGCCGTTCATGGTCTTCCGGTCCTCTGATCCTTCGCCATATCTTGATATCATCAGCGAAAAATAGGAAATCGGAAGTAATTGATCTCGCCAAATCGTTAATGAACACCAAGAATAGACGAGGTCCAAGAACCGAGCCTTGTGGTACTCCACACGTCACGTCGAATGCATCAGACAATGATTCTCGGACTCTCACCACTAGCCGTCGTTCTTGTAGAAAATTGTCTATCCAACTCAGGAGTGGGTCGCCAATGCCGTAATTCCGAATTTTGTGAAGGAAAAATGCGATGGTTTAAGCGATCAAATGCTTTTGAAAAGTCCAGGTAGATGACATCGACCCCTACTCCATCATCAACAGCTTCAGTCCAGCTATTACGTGTAATTAGTAGGTTAGTATTACACGAACGCTTCTGACGAAAGCCATGTTGCTCTGGGGCTATTAAATTGTGGCTTTCCAGGTATTCCATCAGCGCATCTGCGACGATTGATTCCATCACTTTGGATAGTACTGGAAGTAGTGTTATTGGACGGTAGTTGGCAGGATCAGTGCGGCTACCTCTTTTATGAATAGGAGTGATGACCCCTCGCTTCCATTCTGGTGGAATACGGTTCTCCTCTAGACATCGCTGATAGAAAATAGCCAGTGGTGCTGCTAGATCACTAGCTACTGCCTGTAGAGCCTTTGGTCGGATGTTGACAGCTCCGTGACATCTGTGGATACGCAAGGATAACAAATTTTCAACACATCTTCCGTAGTGAAGGTGATGTTTTCTAAACCAGATGGTGGAGTATTAGAAATGAGGTGAATGTTCGGGCTCGACACTTGTTGGAACGTTTGGGAGTAATGAAGCCGTAGGAGATCAGCTGCTTCCATGAACGGAGTTCATGGATGCCGGATTTCGACCGCACTCACAAGCGGTCATTGAGTCTAGTGACGTTGCCATGTTTCCTGATTGCGAAGAAGCTGAACATATGCAATCCAACTGTGATCGTCGCATGGCCGGTGTTAAAAGTGAAGTGCGCGCGATTAGATTGAAACCGATTAGGGGAAAATGCGATGGAAACTAAGTTACGATAGGTTTTGCGGCGCTAAGCGATGCACTAAAGCGAGATTCGGGGATGTGCCACATTTCACAATTCACGCCTTATTCGCCGTTCAGCGGAAACTACGGATAGACAAATAAATAAATAAACGTTTTATTCCTCAGCAGTGCGAGGCAAAGACCAATTGGGTGGTCTTATCAACATGTACAACGTGATCGCATAATATAGTTAATTATTCGTCTTTTGATCAATGGTTCCCATACGAGTTTTTGAATTGATTAGCAGTTTGGAAAAAGTAGAGTGATAAAGAAACTGGGAACAATAATAAATGTAGATTTCACGGTAAGTTCAAGTAAAGTAATACGGTCATCCATGGAACTGTCCCCAGGGGACTTGCTTCCATGCAGGGTATTTCCACGATGGGTTTCACCCGCACTTCCATGCTCCAATTGGCTCTGTGCCTGTGTGGCAAGATAGTAAATAGGCCATCAGAACTGGGTATCAAATGTCTTTTTGTTTGGGGCTGTTTTATGCACACCTTATAGGCGATGAAGCCTCAGCCCTTTCTGTCATGC